AAATATAGCTATTTTTAACAAGTGAAAGAGAAGAAGATCTTTAAAATGAGGAGTCTATCATTGGATTTGATGAAGAAAAAAAAACCTGTGATGAATAATAACAGAATAGCACTGATGAAAAACCGATTATTTTTCATTCTGCAACTGCTACAAGTAACCTGCTGCTATGGAAAATACCAGAGAGAAATACAATTTTAAATTATAACGAAATAATCAGTTTTTATTCTCTCATGTAAAATACTCAAGTTTTACATCTGACCTTTTGTACTAACAGTAGAATAGAATAGAAAATAATTTTATTCTGGGACGAAGTCCCTTTAGAATAACAAAAAAGTACAAAATTAAACTTATTATATCTGGCCTAAGTAAAAACAAACATCAAAAGTAAAAAAAAAAAAGAAAAAAAGTGAAGAAAATATTAGTTAAACATAATATGTACAATATAAAAAAAATCTATATAAAAAACACTTGAAACCATGCCAAGACACTTGAAACTATATACAGCAGTAAAATATAAGTATACACTTTTTAAAAAAAATAAATAAAAAATACATTATATTCTTCTTAGCAATAAACTCTGTCTTAAGTATTTAAGTGATGAATTATATGTAAATATATCATTATGTGAATCATTTTGAATAATATGTAAATTTAAATAGAAGGTTAGAGGGGCGTGTCTGAATGTTTTTGTGATAGAAATTGGAATAGGGGAGGTTTTAAATGTAGATAGGGAGGGAGAATGCCGAATTTTGATAGGAAGAGAATTCGAGAAATTATCAGAGCGAACATTAAACGAGTTTCGGAACGAGGCAGATCTGTGATATAATATAAAATAAATTGCTTAAAACAGTATTGATATAATATAAAATAAATTTTTTTTTTGTGTTAAATTTTATTATTTTCTGCTTTAAGTTGAACTTAAATAAATGTACTGTTTATATTTATAAGGCCTAGCAGCTGAGAAGAGGTAAAGCCTGCGGTCCGGGGGGCAAAATGTGGGTGGGTTATAGCCCCGCCCGATAATTTGATATTCTCCACTGGAAATAGGGAGTGGGTGGGTGTTCCTTTTGTGCCGCTATCCTCCCAGCTCAGGGCTGTTTAAATTCCACCTCCCCGCTCCTTTATACTCCTGCTAAATATGGAAACTTTAAAATATATTTTGACTTTTTTTACACAATATGTCAATATTATTGAGCCAATTTCATTGATGGGGTACCTCACACGAGTCAATTAGATGAAGTCAATATTGATTCCAGTAAAGAAGAAGGTTTCCAAAGAGGTTATCTTTCTTTTTTGTAAAAATGAATTTCCTATTACTTTAATTACTTTGGCACGAGCAACTTCGAAACAGTTTAATGGCATAAAATACTGCCATTTTGTATAAACAATTTTTTTTTATAATTTTTCTTATATTTTTTTTTAAATCGGTGTGGAGAGGATCTCTCCCTTCCTCCCAAAAAAATTACTGTAAAAAAGGTGTCTTCCACCTGGGCAGGTTTGGTAATCATATTGCTATTTTATCTTTTAAAATAAATTCGGAGGAGGATTAATTCCCTCTCCCCTCCAGAAAAAAATAATAAATGTAAAACAAAGTATGACGCAACTACCCAAACATATTGCTATTTTATCTTTTAAAAAAAATAATCGGAGGGGCTTTACTCCCCCCACCTCAAAAACTATAAAATAAAATTATCTCCCACCTACTCAAATATTGCCAAGAGGGGCACCGAAAATTTCGTATCGCACAGAGCTTCTCAAAATTTATATTGTCCAATTTGATTGATGTCAATTTAATTGATACCAATGTAGCCTTTACACGGTCAATATATTGACGAAACTAGATATTGACTTAATAATATTGGCTGTGTAAGTGCTCTTTATCCTATTATCATATATAATAGGTATGAAATAGACATTTTTATTTATAGCAAAGTAAAAAATAATAATTATGGACTGTATAACATATTCATTCAAAACATTTAGTTACCACGTTTTTTGGGTTTGATAAATAGAAAAAAAAAAAGGAAGAAATGACTTGAAATAGATTAATTTTTAAATATTTTTATATTTAGCAAACTTATTTAGCAAGTTTTTTATCACAGAAGGTTGTATAACAGAATATTTATTACATGTGTTTATTTTTAAATGAAAGAAATAATATTATAAGTCTTATCCATCCGTCTCATACCGAACCTTAACTTTATATATATATATATATATATATATATATATATTGCCATAGCATAATGCTATTTCGCTACCACTTCAACAGTTCGGCATCCTCCGCCGAGCCATATGTGGACGATGGCTTAAAAATAGCTTTGAAATAGTTTATTATTATTATTTTTTTTTTATAATCGCGAATAATCTCAAAACTTGAGAATGGTGTTTTCATACCTTGAAAGAGCAAGTGAAGAAGTTTAGGAAAAAGGGGAAGATAGTGAGATGGAATCTAACAAAATTTTATAAGTTACTATTTTAAAGGTTATTTCGTATTTTAAAGTTTTAATAATCCGTATTATTTGAAATGGCAGAAATGGCTAGAATCACATATTTCTTTCTTTATTCATCTATTATTTTTTTGTTTTCTGATTTGTTTTTGTCTGTTCTCAATACTTCATTTCCCATCTCATCATATTCACAATGTTGAATATTCTATTTCTAATTTTCCTGATGGCATAGGAAAAGATGATTTAAACTATTGAGTTAATATAATAGCTTGACTATTGATCTCAAGTCCCCTTAAATCAATACGGGAATCGTGTCTTGAAAGTTTATTGTCAAGTATTTAAATTATGCAGCTCTTCCTGACCTTCAAGCAATATTACTGCGATGCTCCGCAGTATAGGAATAACGTTGCTCCTTTTTTTACTTTCCTACCTGTACTAGGTAAGGAAAGTATTGCAATCGGGTCAAATTTCCGACATGCGGTTTTCGACGGATCTATACGTTTCACAGCCCTCTGAGTCCGAAAAACACATTTTTAGCCATTGGTCTGTCTGTCTGTCTGTGGCAAGATTTTCTCGGGAACAACTGAACCGATTTTGTTGCTTCTTTATTTATTTTGTAGGGTTTCGACTACTGATGGCTGTGACAGAAATTCATTGCTCCATGCTCAATAGCTTGCGCGCAATAAATGAAAAACACGTTTTTCTATAGACTGTAGCGCAAAAACGGCTCTAACGATTTTGATGGAACTTTCCTATAATGTTTTAATCACTGTTCTTTCAACTTTCGTATATAAACTAAATTCCCCTAAAAATTCAGGAAAAAAAGTTATAAGGAAAAGAAAAATGTTATGGGGCCTAACTCCCTAAGTATATATTATAAAAACATACCATAAGTATGTATCCGGAAAAACACACCGTTTAGCCTATTGTTTGAAAGGTAATTAAATTCCCTACAAAGCCATATAAAAATCGTTCATTTTGGACGGTTATTAACGAAGTTACAGCGATTTAATTCCCAATGAAAGTTCATTTCCTGGTGTCAGAAAGGGGTGAATAAGAGAATAAAGATCACTAAGTGAAATTAAGAAATTCTGTTGCCCGCATCACACAACCTTCACTATTTCCTCTACTTTTTACAGAAATTACTATTTGACTATACTAAGCTATGGCAAAAAGTTTTTGATCAGCAATATTAGGAGCTATTGAAATTTTTACACTGATCTACCTTAAGCTGGTTTGTTGTTTGTTTGTTTAATTTTCAGGAAAATATATTTAGTTCAATTCTTTTTTGTTTCTTCGTGAACATATGTAAAGATATAAAAACTTTTCTGAAATAGGTAGGAAAGTCGTGTGAGTGGACACATCAGATGTTTTAAATTTTATTTGATTTATTTTTAAATTTCTCGTGACTGAATAAATTTTATCTTGCAGTTTTTATTTAGTGGTGTTTGTTCACTGATTCAACTTGTGCCTCTCCGATTGACATATCTTTCGATTTATTTTGAAAATATTTCATGTATTAAAATACTTCTTAAACTGAAGAGAAGTACAATCCAATTGTGATTAGTCTAATCAATAATATTTAAGAAAACTGCACAAAAAAGGATAACGCTTTACTGTACTATCATCCTAAATATCGAATGTCGACTCATTTGATGACTAACAGATCTGATTGATGTATGAAGCGTCACTGATGCCTTATTTCTTTTTTATTCAACTGTCTGTAAGTAACTGTTACTGTTAGTAACAGTTTCTTTTAGGAAAATAACAAATATTCAGAAAACATATGTCATTAAACAATAAATGTTTCATTTAAAAATTATTATTATCCTACCATAGATAAACAAATATTACAAGAAATGTTAATTTTCATCCCGAAGTTTTCGCATTATCTGTAAAATATCACTTAATGTCCTCGGGAACATTTTGATACCTCATTCATAAAAATCCATCACTCCTGAGAACCGGAAAAGCGTATAGTAGGACAGTACTACCGTGTTATATGCCGGTAGAATATGTGGGGGGGGGGGTGATCTTTTGTATAATTAGAGGGCAGTGATAATGGAGGCCGCGATAATTATATATATTTTACTGTTGCTGTTCTTACTAATAAGAAAATACATACCCATATACATATATTCTACTTAGTTCTATTGATTTTCAAATTAACGTAGCATAAATAATGAAATATTAATTAACTGTAGCTCTAGATCAATGCAATACGCACAAAACGTTTGAAGGGCGCAGCTACGTCACGGAAGCCACAAGCGGCTTTGAGACCCCAAGTTTCCCACCTGAATCCTATACTATAGATTTTAAGAAAAAAAAAATATGTGTCCTATACTGTGGTATAGTGTAGATTATGAATTGAAACCCGTCGAAAAAATAGAATTGTAAAAGCCATGTCGAGGGATTTTCGTCCATCTAACTCTAATGTTGAAACGCAGGGCGGGAGAAATTCTGCAGCTTTTCATATAGCAGATATTTCCTTGTCCGTTAACTTTTCATACGTTGCATAAGTTGAAACATAAACAGGCGACGAACTGCTGAATGAAAGGGCGGGTACAAAAGGGACCAGAGTGACAGGCCGAACAATCGGGGTCTAGATAGTAGTCCGGGGAGGGGGAGGATCCCCTGTCCTCCATAATGTCCCTCCCCCCGCTCTCTGCAGTCAATTTCCAGCAATATATCTCCTAGCAGTGTCGTCTCGTGGTCAAAGGCAGGAATGGCTGTTGGGCCTATAACTATCAGTAGATCAAATGATAGGATAGAAAGATATAATGGGCCTTACGGCAATAGAGGCAGCTAATTAGACTACGATTAAAGAATTTGTCTTAGATTCTTATTTTTCAAATCCTCGGATTTATGAGAGTAAATTTCTTAACAAGTTGGCGTAGGAGTCCGTGTAATTTAAACCTCATTCCTTTGGAATGTTGGGAGTCATGACAGCTATAGTAAATTTATTCCTCTGTCACCTGATTTCCTGCAATATCAATCTGGTAATCATCGAACTGCACCGTCCTTCTTACCAATTCTGGTTCAAGAACAGTGGCAAATTGGTCTAGATCCGTGGATGATGGCTGTTCAGAATCAGAAGGTGCACTGAGACCTTATCTCTTTCCCCCAAACAGACCATCCATGGGTTCCAAGCAGACGTGCTGCTCACTTCTTCGAAAAGCTCATCACGATTCCCTGTTAAAGTAGACAAGATCACCACTCATACCTCGGCTCGGTGTAAATTGCTTAGAGTAGGCTGATGGGCTTCACATAGCTGAGATGGTAGAGAACCTCGGACAGAGTTCTCTCTTTAAACGATTATCCGTTTATGGAAATAAATATTTTACAAAATGTACTGCTATCGTTAGAAAATTTCATAAATATGGCATCAATTCTTCTTTCATCTAGAAAAAAAAAAGTATATATTTACATATTTTTAAATTGTTTGTTTATAATGATTATTATATTTCTTATCAATTACAGTTTTACAACATTAGATTTATTTTCTGAAGGTATCATACAGTCCTGTATAAAATAAACCCTTTGTTAATCTTTGATTCGCAAATGTAGGGTCATGAAATAATTGTAAAAAGAAAATATATTTCGCCTTTAATTTAATTTATATGTTTTTTAGGTGGAGAATGATCAAATGGAGATCGTTCCTCTCTTGTGCCAAGATGATTGTGGTTCAGAACATAATTTTCTAATAAGCCACAGTTTAGAAAATGAGGATATAAGGGATAGAAATATTATCTATCCCTTGCTTTTAGCAGTGATTAAAAAGGACATAAACATACCCAAAGCACTTCTCAATAATTGAGCTAACGTCAATATCCTGTGAAAAAACCGAACGTGCCCTTCATGATCATTGTTTGGAGTTGTTATGTTACAACTTCAATATCCAGAGAAATTACGGATTGACATCTTTAATAAGCGCTGATTCGAATGATGACAAAATGTATGATTATTTTATGGGTGTCAAAGTATGAAAGTGTGGATATAAAGAACTGGTTTGTTGCATTGCATACAGTTGATAATTACAAAAACATATACACGACGCTCTTCTCAATGGTGGAGCTAACGCCAATGTCAAGGGAAATGACGGAGGGACACCTTTGATGACCGCTGCTTGAAATGGTGATGAAGCTATGGTAAATTTATTTTTTTTTAAAGAATGCTTCTTTAGAAATAAGAGCCGGTTTCGCTAATGCCGCAATACACTTTGCAGCTTGGGATGGAAACATTAAAGTCATTAAGATGCTTTATGGTCACGTTGCAGATTTTAATGGTAAAAGAGAATCGTTAAACACCTCTACTGTTTGTAGTTCGGAAGGATGGTAAAAAATCAATAAAAGTGTCATCGAAAATACTAAAGATTGTTTGCAATGAAATTTTCGAATTTGAAAAAAAAACAAAAAAAAAAACAGTCTTTGTAATGTAGACCCTCTTGGAACACGAAGCCGACCATGGAATTCGCAAAATTGTCTTGAACAACCTGTGCTCCGTGAAGTACACGACGTTATACCGATCCATAATGCGGCAGCACTGCACGTTGCATCCTACTACGGTCTCAAGGATCTTGTCGGACTGTTGATATCATACGGCGCTTCATTAGGTGTTCAAAGAGATAAACGAAGGTACTCTTCATTCCACTCTGCCTGTGATAATAGCCATGTCGAAGTTGTGAAACTGCTTTTGGATTCTGCATCCAATAAAAGTTGCGGCGATATCAACGGTACTACTCCGCTACACATTGCCTGCGGAAAAGGTCTCTTTCCAATAGCTAAATTACTACTTTGCGAACCACCAGCTGCCGTATACCAAGCAGACAATAATGGATACACAGCCCTCCATATTGCTGCGATGAACGGATCTCATCGGATATCTAGAAATAGCCAAGTTGTCATTGAATCTTAATGATGATAAAGAAGCTAAAACCATCGATTTTAAAACTCCACTGCATTTAGCTTCATGCGAGGGGCGTGAAGAAATAGTGCGAATCTTATTGGAGGAAGGAGCTGAAAGAGATGTGCTTGACATTGATGGTATGATGCCATTACATTTCGACACCAGGGAAAGATACAAGTTTATAGTTTAGGCGATGGCTCCTTCGAGTGCTTTCATCAATAGCAGAAACAAAAACGACAGCACACCATTACATCTGGCATGCGAATGGAGCACCAAATCTCAAGGAGAAACATTAGAAATTACTCGGATCCTTCTAGATAATGGTGCAGATTTCAATGCAAAGGACCACAACCAAATGACTCCATTACATATTGCATCAAGAGACAATTCCTCAGAAGTCATATATTACATTCTAAGGGATAAAGGACACCGATTAATTAAGGATACGTTACTCAACCTATCTATCCATTACGCCGTATTAATCGGCGACAAAGACGTAATACTCAAGTTATTTGATATACTAATAATTTATAACTGAATTTTCGCAAAGTATATATGTGAATATTAGTAATGAAATCCCTTTGTTCTTAGCTTCAAGAGAAGGGCACTCTAACATTGGAGCTTTGCCCTTACATGTTGGAGTAGAAGATATTCAACCTGACATCAATAGAAGAACTGCTTTGCACCGCAACGTCGCCAGAGGTCACTCAGAAATAGTGATACTCCTTCACCAAGCTATTTTAAATAAAGAAAAGGAAGATAAGTGGGGATTCATAGCATTAAACTACGCTGCTTCTTGGAAAGGATACCAAGAGGTTATATGATTGCTTTCTACAAATCAACTAAACGTCACATTATTATTTTATTTAAATAAATGAAATCTTTTGCAACATAATTTGTTTAATTAGACTTCAATATAGGTGAAAAGTTACCTGGTATAAAATTGGAAATACCTTATTTTTTTACATAAATACAGGAAAGTTCCTGTACATTAATTCAAGTTATTGTCCAGAAAATGACCTACGGCCTCAACATTTCAAAATAACGAGGTTATAGGCAACCATTTTTCTTGATTTTTTGATGAAATTATCTTACTATTAAAGTGGAAAGCAAGTCGGCATTCATGTGTTTTAGTACTTTGCCAAACTTATTTATTTAAAGAGAAAATAATTGCTGAGAATTTTCGTAAATAAAAAATTGTAATTTACGATTAGATGAAACCATTACGGCGTTTTAGGTGGATGTTTACAATTTGATAAAAAGGGGTCTATACTGCGGGCTGGGATGTTTTGAAATATGTATTTTTACGATTACCAAAGAATACCTCGTACTTTATTCTTCCTTCAATCTATTTCAACCACTTTACTGAAGTCCCAGATATTTGTATACAATGAGCAATTTGAAAGTAAATAGATATCTCTTATCTTGCAATACTTAAGGATTATATTATGTAGTAAAAACTATATGAAGTAAATTAGCGTCAGTTTATACAATTGTTTAAGCACATACTTCTTATAAAATCTATACTATACCTATGTAATACGGTTCTGAGGGATAATGGATATTGTTGAATGAGGTATTAAAAAAAAAAAAAGAAACTATGGATGAAACGAAATTTGGCAGGAATTCCAATCAAGGCATTTTTTTAGGTTATCCGACGTTTCGACCCAAACATATGGGTCATCCTCAGAGATCGTTCCGAAGTCGAGACAAGAACTCGGTAAGTCGATTACTTACCCATCTCGAAAAGAATTTACATGGATAAGTAACGAATCCATATTTTTTTTCTTTAAATTCCTTCAGCAACATAAATAAGTTTTTCTCATTCGCAATACTCTTCCTTACTATATATTTCATACATAGACATGTGAAAAAAAAGTACAGAATGTGATCGTACAGAGGGGCTTGGATTGAGAGGTCGTGATCATGTTAGATTCTATACGCATTATATATTTATATAATCTCTTTGAAGATAAACAAAACTATTTTTGCAACTCCTTTAAAATAAGTAAATAGGGGTTTTTATTTAATTTAATTTAGTGGATAAAAAATCGGAACTGTTAATCTCGAAAGAAGCCGCTGACCGCGGACGGAGAGATATTTTTTTATTTAATTCGATTTCCGTATTCTACACTATTTTTTGGAGACATTCTAGAATTTCGAACATTTTCTAATGCCTCACAGTAATTTACTTAATAAATAGCCCACTAAAAAGTTCAATTAACCTTACAGGTAATTTTTTTTTCTACTTTTACATTTTCGTTTTAGGAATAGTTACTCTTTTATGAATTATTTGAACTTTTGCTGATGTTTCTACCATTCTGGTCCAATGGTCCGTTGCTCCATTTGTTGTTAACTTTAATTGTACTAACTGCAATTGATAAACTAATCACTGTTTAACAGAATTTTCGTTAACCAATGGTGATTAGCCTCACCTCCATGTTGTTATCCTAGCTTGGTTCTAACCCAACATGAGACTTTGGTTAAATTCTTAACCAAGGTTAAAGTGTTACCTTAGGTGTGGTCACTTCTAGAAATGAAACAGTATATGAATAGTAAGTTACTGAGAAGAAGAAAAGTGTTTTTGTTTTATATTCAAGATATCAACAAATTTGATTTCATCTGTAGAAGAAAATTCTTCTGAAGGAAGTTTGTTATTAGATCAAGAATTCTGAACTTGTCACCAATTTGGTTCCTAAAAACAAAATATATCAGTAAGGAATGATATATTTGATTTTTATGATGAATCTGAATTCAAATTCAAGAAAAGAATCGGTGCTTAATTTAATGAATATAATATGCGTGCATCACCTTATCCTTTGAGATATTATGATACTGAAAATTTTCAAACATTTTAAGGCGACCATATTTATATAGATTAATCTAAAGTGTATAGGATAATTCCTTGTGTGCTAGAATCAATCGAAGGAATAATCAAAATATTTCATTAAAATCCTCCCAACAAATGGGAATATTAACTGAACTGTAAGAGATTTCTACAACATTAGATATTTTTTTTTGGAATAATTGGTGTAATTGATTGCACCCATATTAAAATGGGTAGCGATAGTGTAGAACTCTCCCAGAATCGGAAAGGATGGTTCTAGTTGAACATTCAACAAGTGTGAGATCCGGAATTGAAAATCCTTGACATTATGAAAGATCTTGTTGGTCTTGCCTTGTACATGGTAGTCAGATATGTAATTCAAACTTCTTATGAAAAGGGTCTGGTTGGATTGATTTATGACTTATCACATAACCTAAAAGATGAATACTTGTTTGAGAAAAAGAGCACTCATTCATGTTCAGCGTAAGACAAGAATTCTGAGTTACATTTTGATTGTGCTCCTTTTAAATTTCTTTTCTCACAAAATCTTTGAAAAGCTGCGACTCCAAATTAGTCTCCCTAAATGGATTTTGTGTTAACTTTTAAAGGTTTGGCTGAAGTAAAAGGGCGTTCCTTTACAGAAATAAGTACCTCATGATAGGCATTCTTGAGATTTACAACTTCATTTATTATATCATCAATCCGTGGCAGTTTGAGTTATCAACTACCATTTTTTCTCTGTGATCTACTTTCTTTGATGATTCAATCTGCTGATAACCTGTGAATTTCTTGCATACTTCTTTCTTGAATACGGAGTCTGGACCTAGAGTGATGTTCAAGATTTTATTATAGCTGTCTTAAAATTCAGAGTAGTAGGATATGTCAACAACTTAGCTGGTTCTAGGTTCGCAGCATTTTGACTAGATAGCATTAATGGAGCTTTTCTGCAACTGAAGTTACCCTCTAAATTTGAATATCCTTTAAGAATGTCCTAACCAACTATCTGCTCACAAATCAGACAGGACGCGCAAAACGACCTCTTTATAAAAATAATCTTGGAGACTCAAGGCTACTGTGCACTTTTCAGTAATAGCTTCAGAAAACATGGAAGCCATGTATACCTGTACAGATTTATAGTGCCTGAAATGAAACTTATGTTTCCAAGCAAAACTTATAAAAACTTGGTGAACTACCAGTGTCAATAAAGACATGAGCATCAAGGTCATTAACCTTGGTTGCACAATGGTTTTGGAGAGGCATTTTGTCATAGAAGCTACATAATTAGGATAGTTTGTCATTTTTGAAAGAAACTACTTATGTTGATGTTGTTGTCTATATACCTTTTAAAAATGACATTTCTTTCCACAATATCTTCACATCTCATCTCTCACTGAGCATATGATTCGACTATGCTTAGGAGCTTCGCCGAAGTTACATTTTGATGAGATGACAGCTATCGCGGCTTAAGATTCAAGAGATTCGTTGTCTGTAGAAAGACTCTCATTAGCTTGAAGTGAAGTACTAACTCCATCGAAAGCTGCGTTAATTAGGGCTGGCTGGTTATACAGCCCAACTAACTGATTATATCTTGATCCGATTCCAGGGATCTCGCCTACTGAGAAGCTTTTGTAAGGGTGTTGGTATCAATTTCTAATAGCCTTTGAGGAATTTAGAAAGGCAACAATCCTTTTATAAATGCTTCCCTGATAGATTCATCCATACAATCCTCTGCAGAGACAGCCTCAAAAGAGAGAACAAAACTAGGTGAGATATCTCAAAGCTTCTTAATATTTTTCTGTCATTTCGCCAGATTCTTGATGCATAGTTTCAGCTTATGGTGTGCGAACAACTCTCTAATAGTCTTAACATAAACTTTTTAAAATGTTTCTATTCCTTTAACATATGTAACGACTTCACTAATGTATTCATACACAGATGGAGAGATGAAATCTATAATTGTAGTTTCTCATATTCAGTACTTATGTTCTTAACTGATGATAAAATTTTGAAGCGTTTTTAACCAGTGGTTCCAATCTAGAGGAGCCAGCAGTATTCTAAGAAGTCTCTCCATCTTAAATAATTCAGTTTAATAAATTGTGATAGAGTAATAGAGATAAATAAAGGCATTATTAAACTGAATTCAATACTCAGAATTATAAGATTAACTAAGTTAATAAGTTTTAGCAACTAACATGTTATTCACTAAGTTTGATAATTAAATCTTAATATATCAATCTAATTATAGATGATAATGACTTACCTATATATTAATTAATATATAATTTAGAGCCCTGTTTGTTCCACCAAATTGTTTTTTAAAGATCTGAGGTTGTTTTTAATTCTGTATGATTTAATAATGCCATGTATACTTGATAGTATGTCTGTAATTGATTCCTAATAAGTTATTTTTACTTTACTCATATGTATATTATGTATGAATTTTAACTGTTTTGTAATTTTTCCATTTTTTTTTTTATAGCAATATATGTTGTTTTAATTTAATACATTCTTTGAAGTGTATTACGTCTTGATTAATTTATATGTGTAGGAATGTGCTTATCTTATTTCTGGTTATCTGAGGTATAAAAGTCATTGAATACATTTTGTAAGTCAATTATTTCATAAAACACTTTACTATTACTATATACTATGGTGGTATTCCTCTACCACTGTAAAAGTGCTCTATTTTCAATTTTATTTTAAATATTTCAGAAACCAGCTAAAACATTACCTACCATTATAAAACTACTCTATCTTTAATTTTATTTTAAATATGTCAGAAACCAACTAAAACATTACCAGTCAAAATGAAAAAAATTGACTAAGGTGTAATTATATCTTTTAAATATATAAGCGAGTAAAGGTAAACATTAAGTAATACATCACACTTTTGTAAGATTCTGATGTGGTGAAGTATATATTTAAAAAAAAAAATCTGTAAACTACCTGAAAGACAAAATAAATACTCCACATAGCAAAATTGTTATATGCAAAGTACGTTAAAGTCAAAAAGTCAAAAATGTCCTATGAAAACATTTTTAAAACCATAATTTTAATTGCATAAACATAATAAAAGCATAAAATAAATAGAGGGTAGAAGTACAGATTTTTTTTTCTTCTATCACGAGTTTGACTTTTTCTGACTCTACTTTAATGGAATTTTCATATTATTAATCTATTATTATCAAATGTCTATCAAATTATCTATTAATATCAGATCCATCCAACCCCCCAGCCCCATGTCCTTTGAACAATAGTTATTATGCTTTATTCCATGCTACAAAACATATCTTACACTATGACCTTAATATCTCATTAGTGCCAGATTTTATCCAAAAAAAAAATTCTCTAAGTTCCACCAGAACCTAAATTTAACCATTCAAATCCTCTTGTACTATCCCTTTTTAGCACCTCCTATCCCTACAGTCCTCCTTGAAGGCTGAAAAGACAGTGGTCCTGTGATCTTCTGTAATTTTAATATATTGGAGTTCGGTCAATGTTCAGATACTCAACTCAAGACAGGAGTTTATGTGGCTAAGGTGTTCTCGCTTAATCTCCATTGTCTTTAGTATCAGTGATCTGGTTGGGAGAGTAGTGCAGAGACCTCTCCATAGGTTGAAGGACATGCAGAAGTTTCCTTGCCTGGTATGGTGTGTCCTTAACAAGGTTTTACATTATTTATTTTATTTATTTACTAGCTGACCCGTGCGAATACTTCGCACAAACCTTATATTTGTATGTTCCATTCAGTAATGTTTTTATGCGAAGGTTTAATACTTTTATTCAGTTAGTTATGAGTTTATAAATATAATAATCTATACCCATCCACAGGTTAACGCTTTCTAGTTTCATTAAATTTATAATTATAACATTACATTTTTTCTTAAGTTTACAAAAGCTTCTAAACATTGCCTTTAAATATCTGATGAAGGCTAAATACTTTGAATTTAGTTCTCTGGAAGGTACGTTTTGACCTAGCTGTCTGTATTCACAGAAAAAAATAATAAAAATAATGAAATGTTTCTTTTGTCATTAAATATAATCAAGTAACTTTTTAAAATGATAAACATGTAATAGCTTATATATAGATAATATTTTATTTAAAATGAAGTATATAACATTCCAGATTTATAGCACTATAACTAATTTAATAATTAATTTCACAAAACCAAATGTTTTGAAATTAGATAGAATAATTACTTACTGATACAATGTTTTCTGTCTCAGGAAGAAAAGTGCCATTGTCCAAATTTTAAAATTTCGAATAAAGAGCAGAAGAGAAAATAGGGTAGATTAAGAAATAATTTTATATCATTTTCTGTTAAATAAGAAAATCAGCTAATAAATTTATCATATCAAGAAAAAAGATTTATTTTACCCTTATATATTTATTATATATATATATTTATAAAGGGTAAAAAAAGCTTTTTCATCAATATTATGAATTTTATTATAAATATATATCCTTGAAATTTGAAAGATTCGGACAAAAAATAAAATTTTACTAAAATATACTTGATAAAAACAATTATTACAACAATAGATTTAAAGTTTTTGAGTAATCCAAAACAAAAAACATTTCAACATTTTATTAATACTATAAAAATGAATAATATATACCGAATATGAGTAATATAAACCGAATATAAGTGTAAAAAAAATATATATTTTATCAGACACAACTTTTATCGATTTCGATTTTTTTTTTTCATTTTTTAGAGAATTTACTAAGCTTTCCAAATACTCATATGTATAATGAGTCAAAAATTGCGTCCTTTCCGAGTTATTTCCAAATTATGAATTAGTTTGTAACGCCTCGATTCGTTGAGACGGCACCATCATATAGTTTGAAACCTCCCACTTTTACATTCACTTTTATTTAAGTCCAGGTATAAAATTAGGAATAAAAATTACGATTCGCGCACTCTACGTGATATTCCCTGTCTATTGATACCTCATTCGTCAAAATCCATCACTCCTAAGAACCGGAAAAGGGATATATATTTGAGAAATAATATATAAGATATTTTCAGTAAATATGGTGTGAACTCTTTATACTCTTACCTCTCTATGTCCAATGTCTATCTTGCGACAGAATGTTATATTATTCTATAAAAATAACAAGTTTAATTGTTTCTCTTGCTCCCTTTCCAGTTTGACTTTTTGAATTTCCATCTCAGTTTTTTGATCTTTTGAACATGACTTTTCTGACATTTTTGTAAATATCAGAAATACTTCACTCTGGACTCTGGGTAATGCCTTATTGAGAGCATTTATCAGTCCACCATAAATTGGGTGTTGTTTACAGCTTTTCAGACAAAATGATGTTGCACGTTGATGTGTTTTGTTCTGCTATTGGGAGTCGAGTTTTTGGTGAGGTCAAGAGCTCCTTTGTTGCCATATTTGATGTTAATCTTCATGCCAGGTTTTAATTGGAAACCAAAAACGTTAAGTACCATTCTCAGCAGCAGAGGTTTTGGAGCTGTAGTAAATCGGGCTGCAGTTGGTTGTTTCTTAGATGACCAGCTGATAGCTCCTGATGAAAGCAGAATCATCTTCTCAGTGACAGGTACGCGATCTACTGGCTAATCGACAAAATAGGGGTCTTGAATAGATCAAGTTCTTGAATTTTCTTTATTGAATGAATCAAAAGTGTGAACTCAAGCTTTCGAACATCACAGATTTCGTTGAAGATAAATCTGGTCTTGTACACTTGGCAACATACATCAGTAATCGAACAGTAGTTCGATAAAATTCATCAGAATCCTCATTCTTGATAAGCTTCAGGGCACATCCCATAGGAATTTCTTTGTGGTTTACAATCAGACATTTCAAATCTCTTAAGAATCGTTTTTTTCATACTTCTTTTGGTAGATGCTAATAGTTGCGGCAGTGGGGTCTCTTTAAATGTGTAGCTTTTAACTTACATTCATCAGAATTGTCGATTTTAGTTTTTGTTATTTTAGGTTTACAAAAGCTTGGGGAATTTAGAGCTGAGGATAACTGTTCTGAGTTGGAGGACTTGAGGACTGAAAGGAGGTTTGAGGCGCTTCTTCTGGCGTTTATAGTTGGCAGGTCGTTGATGGATCCGGCGTTTGATCTTCAGAAACTGTTTATTTTTGTTATTTGAAAAGATTTTTGTATTTAAAGCTTTTTTTCGTTGCATGTTTTTACAAACTATGGAACCTTCATAATTTGTAGGATGCTCATAGCATAGAGCACATATTGCCGCAGTTTCTCGAGGCTTCTGTCAAGCGTTTTAAGACGTGAGGACCTGTCCATTTCACACACCTTGGCTGATGGTGGCAGTATTCTTTAGTGTGGCCAAGATTTTGGCAATTGGTACATTGGACAACTTAAGCTCTTTGGCTTGGCTCCTTGAGTCTCATTCAAGAATATACCAGCCGGTTGATGTTAAGTATTTCAATATTGTTAGGCGCAGGCTCCAGGTCGACAAAAATATAGGCAGAGGATATTTTTCCCGTCTATGTAGTACGTTTGAGATAAGTCTCAATGTTTTCCGACTTCTTCTTGGTCTATCTTGATGGCGGAAATTGAGATAGTAGAGTGTGAAGTCCTCTCAAGACAACTCTATAAGATCTACCTTCTTTTATCTGATAACTATGAAAATCGTAATTGTTTTCAGTTAAATGTTGAATTAGTTTTTTTATAATTTTCTTTGTTGTTCATATTTATTCTTATGTATCTTACTCGTGAAAGGCATTTAAAGTTAGTTTGCTCTATTAAATTGGAAATTTCAAGACCTGGCGCCATGAAGTCTTGTTGTTAACAAAGAATGAGGGCGTTTCTGGTTCATAAATTGGGCTGCTGAAGATTCTTCTGTGGTATTAGTGAGGGCTGCAAACTTGTTGTTGGTTGGTATGTCTGATGCGGTGTTGTTTGATTCTGTTTTATTAGCTGCGGTTTCAGGAGGTTATTGGTTTTACATTATTATCGAACTCACGACTGATAGAAGACGAGTTTTTAGAGTTTCATTCACAGGGCCAAGACCGCTGAGCTTCGATCAGTCTGATAAGAGGGAAAGTCCAAGTTTCGGTTAGATAACCCTACTTCCAACAAGATTACCGCGATTCGGAGGTAGGTATCAAGTTGTAGATAGTGGGCTTCGATATTACTCTATCGATAACTGTCGATTGTCCAGTCAGCTCGGACAAGCGAAATGGTGGTAGGTAGATGGATGGGTCCTAGGAGTCTCTATCTGGAACTCGAGTAAACGGTAAGGGGGGGGGGGCTCACTTCAACCTAGGTGTGAGATCTACAAATCGATTTGAAGATCGAACGGAAGGCTACTGCTAGCATAACATCTTTTGTATGACGTTATAATTTATGTCACGTTATAACAAAGAATCCGTTATCCGTCGCTACAGATGCATCACATACAATTCTAAGTTTTGTGGATGAGCTGTCAGATAGCATGGTGTGAAAAGTACTGTGATACAATTATTTTTGAAATCCGAGAATTCTCAGAAATAGGGCGTATTCTCATTGAATTAATTATTTTATTAAGGTACTAAAAACTAACGGATACCCATTTTCTTTCCATTATAATCATTAAGTAATTTGATCAAGTGGATTGCCTACCGTTGAAAAATATTGGGCGGTTTGGTATATATAACCTCGTTATTTTGACATGTTAAAGGTGGATGTCATAGCTAATGTAGGTCTTATTTTTGATAATTATTTTATTTAAATAAAGTTAGATAGTTTATTTTTATCTATTTTAAGGTGAATAAATGTGCCGGAACATTCCTGTACTGAACTCTACTTATGCAAATTATGTTGCAAATGATTTCATTTATTTAAATGAAATAATAATGTGACGTTTAGTTGAGTTGTAGAAAGGTATCCTATAACCTCTTGGTATCCTTTCCAAGAAGCAGCGCTGTTTAATGCTGTGAATCCCCACTTATCTTCCTTTCATTTATTTAATAGGGATAGGCGAAAACGTCCCACTATTTTTAAGTGACCTTTGGCGGTGTTGAGTTGCAAAACAGTTCTCTTGATGTCGGATTAAATACTTTCTACTCCAACCTGTAAGGGCAAAGCTGCAACCTTCGTATGTCCTCTTGGACCAAAAAACAAAGAGATATTAATACTCAAAGATATATTTTGCCTTAAGTCACTTCTATTATTATTTGTTAATATATCAAATAACTTGAGTATTACGTCTTCATGGCCGATTAATACGCCGTAATGGATAGATAGGTTGAGCAACGTATCCCTAATTAATCGGGGTCCTTTATTCCTTAGAATGTAATATATGAATTCTGAGGAATTGTCTCTTGATGCAATATGTAATGGGATCATTTGGTTGTGGCCCTTTGCATTGAAATCTGCACCATTATCTAGAAGAATCCGAGTAATTTCTAATGCTTCTCCTTTAGATTTGGTGCTCCATTCGCATGCCAGATGTAATGGTGTGCTGCCGTTTTTGTTTCTGCTATTGATGGAAGCACTCGAAGGAGCCATCGCCTAAACTATAAACTTGTATCTTTCCCTGGTGTCGAAATGTAATGGCGTCATACCATCAATGTCAGACACATCTCTTTCAGCTCCTTCCTCCAATAAGATTCGCACTATTTTCTCACGCCCCTCGCATGAAGCTAAATGCAGTGGAGTTTTAAAATCGATGGTTTTAGCTTCTTTATCATCATTAAGATTCAATAACAACTTGGCTATTTCTAGATATCCGATGAGATCCGTTCATCGCAGCAATATGGAGGGCTGTGTATCCATTATTGTCTGCTTGATCTACGGCAGCTGGCGGTTCGGAAAGTAGTAATTAAGCTATTGGAAAGAGACCTTTTTCGCAGGCAATGTGTAGCGGAGTAGTACCGTTGATATCGCCGCAACTTTTATTGGATGGAGAATCCAAAAGCAGTTTCAAAACTTCGACATGGCTATTATCACAGGCAGAGTGGAATGAAGAGTACCTTCGTTTATCTCTTTGAACACCTAATGAAGCGCCGTATGATATCAACAGTCCGACAAGATCCTTGAGACCGTAGTAGGATGCAACGTGCAGTGCTGCCGCATAATGGATCGGTATAACGTCGTGTACTTCACGGAGCACAGGTTGTTCAAGACAATTTTGCGAATTCCCTGGTCGGCTTCGTGTTCCAAGAGGGTTTACATTACAAAGACTGTTTTTTTTTCTTTCAAATTCGAACATTTCATTGCAAACAATCTTTAGTTCTTTCGATAACACTTTTATCGATTTTTTACCATCCTTCCGAACTACAAACACTAGAGGTGTTTTACGATTTTCTCTTTTACCATTAAAATCTGCATCGTGACCATAAAGCATCTTAATGACTTTAATGTTTCCATCCCAAGCTGCAAAGTGTATTGCGGCATTACCGAAATTGTCTCTTATTTCTAAAGAAGCATTCTTTAAAAAAAATAAATTTACCATAGCTTCATCACCACTTCAAGCAGCGGTCATCAAAGGTGTCTCTCCGTCATTTGTCTTGATATTGGCGTTAGCTCAATTATTGAGAAGATTTTGGCTATGTTTATGTTCGAATTATTGCAATGTGCAAGGCATTATTACCATGCCAATCCTTTGTACCCACGCTTCCATTCATTTACTACAATACATTCACCATTCGAAACAAGTGCCTTATCATAGCCGTCTCTCCGTCATTTTCCTTGATATTTAAATTAGCTCTTTTCTTGAGAAGAGTTTTGGCTATGTTTATGTTCTTTCTAATTATTGCTATATGCGAATATCTGTACTTCATATCCAACTTGCATTATTTGATGACAATACATTTACCATAGTTTTATCGTCATTCTAACAATGTCTTTGCAAAGGCGTCTCTCCGTCATTTTCCTTGATATTGACGTTAGCTCCATCATTGAGAGATGAGAAACATAGCTTTAGCTATGTTTATATTTCATATAATTATTGTTATATTTAAGGCAGCATTACTGTACTACTCCTTTATACCCACACATGCATTTTTTTAGAACCATACGTTTACCATAGCTTTGTCTACATCCAAAACAGTTGGTTTATGAAAGGCGTCTTTCAGTCATTTTCCTTGATATTGAGAATAGTTTGGCTATGTTTATATTTTATATAATTAATGCTATATGCGAATATCTGTCCTTTATATCCAAATTGCATTATTTGACGACCATACACGTACTATAGCTTTGTCGAGTTGGTTTCGAAACAGTTGGTTTATCAAAGGCGTCTCTCCGCCATTTTCCTTGATATTGACGTTAGCTCCATTATTGAGAATAGTTTTGGCTATGTTTATGTTTGATATAATTATTATTATATGTAAGGCAGTGTTATCATACCAGTCTTTTATATCCACACTTGCATTCTTTGACGACTCTAATATTTACCGTAGTTTTGTCGTCATTCGAACCTTTGTCTTAGCAAAGTCGTCTTTCCTTCACTTCACTTGATATTGACGTTAGCTCCGTTATTGAGAAGAATTTTACTTATGTTTATATTCTTTCTAATTATTTCTATATGCAAGGCAGTGTTACCATACCAGTCCTTTATATCCACACTTGCATTCTTTGATGACAGTAATATTTACCGTAGAGTTGTCACTGAAAACTTTTTCTTAGCAAAATCGTCTTTCCTTCACTTCACTTGATATTGACGTTAGCTCCATTATTGAGAAGAATTTTACTTATCTTTATATTCTTTCCAATTATTGCTATATGCAAGGCAGTGTTACCATGCCAGTCCTTTATATCCACACTTGCATTCTTAGACGACTCTAATATTTACCGTAGTTTTGTCGTCATTCGAACCTTTGTCTTAGCAAAGTCGTCTTTCCTTCCCTTCACTTGATATTGACGTTAGCTCCATTATTGAGAAGAATTTTACTTATTTGTATATTCTTTCTAATTATCGCTATATGCAAGGCAGTTTTACCATACCAGTCCTTTATAAACACACTTGCATTCTTTGACGACACTAATATTGACCGTAGTTTTGTCGTCATTCGAACCGTTGTCTTAGCAAAGTCCTCTTTCCGCCACTTCACTTGATATTGACGTTAGCTCCATTATTGAGAAGAATTTTACTTATCTTTATATTCTTTCCAATTATTTCTATATGCAAGGCAGTGTTATCATACCAGTCCTTTATATCCACACTTGCATTCTTTGACGACACTAATATTTACCGTAGTTTTGTCGTCATTCGAACCGTTGTCTTAGCAAAGTCGTTTTCCCTTCACTTCACTTGATATTGACGTTAGCTCCTTTATTGAGAAGAATTTTACTTATGTTTATATTCTTTCCAATTATTGCTATATGCAAGGCAGTGTTACCATACCAGTCCTTTATATCCACACTTGCATTCTTTGACGACTCTAATATTTACCGTAGTTTTTTTGTCATTCGAACCGTTGTCTTAGCAAAGTCGTCTTTCCTTCACTTCACTTGTTATTGACGTTAGCTCCATTATTCAGAAGAATTTTACTTATTTTTATATTCTTTCTAATTATTGCTGTATGCAAGGCAGTGTTATCATACCAGTCATTTATATCCACACTTGCATTCTTTGACGACTATACATTTACCATAACTTTGTCGACATTCAAAACAGTTGGTTTATGAAAGGCGTCTTTCCGTCACTTCATTTGATATTGACGTTAGCTCCATTATTGAGAAGAATTTTACTTGTCTTTATATTCTTTCCAATTATTGCTATATGCAAGGCCGTGTTATCATACCAGTCCTTTATATCCACACTTGCATTCTTTGACGACACTAATATTTACCGTAGTTTTGTCGTCATTCGAACCGTTGTCTTAGCAAAGTCGTTTTCCCTTCACTTCACTTGATATTGACGTTAGCTCCTTTATTGAGAAGAATTTTACTTATGTTTATATTCTTTCCAATTATTGCTATATGCAAGGCAGTGTTATCATACCAGTCCTTTATATCCACACTTGCATTCTTTGACGACTCTAATATTTACCGTAGTTTTGTCGTCATTCGAACCTTTGTTTTAGCAAAGTCATCTTTCCTTCACTTCACTTGATATTGACGTTAGCTCCATTATTGAGAAGAATTTTACTTATGTTTATATTCTTTCCAATTATTGCTATATGCAAGGCAGTGTTATCATACCAGTCCTTTATATCCACACTTGCATTCTTTGACGACTCTAATATTTACCGTAGTTTTGTCGTCATTCGAACCTTTGTCTTAGCAAAGTCGTCTTTCCTTCACTTCACTTGATATTGACGTTAGCTCCATTATTGAGAAGAATTTTACTTATGTTTATATTCTTTCCAATTATTGCTATATGCAAGGCAGTGTTACCATACCAGTCCTTTATATCCACACTTGCATTCTTTGACGACTCTAATATTTACCGTAGTTTTGTCGTCATTCGAACCTTTGTTTTAGCAAAGTCATCTTTCCTTCACTTCACTTGATATTGACGTTAGCTCCATTATTGAGAAGAATTTTACTTATGTTTATATTCTTTCCAATTATTGCTATATGCAAGGCAGTGTTATCATACCAGTCCTTTATATCCACACTTGCATTCTTTGACGACTCTAATATTTACCGTAGTTTTGTCGTCATTCGAACCTTTGTCTTAGCAAAGTCGTCTTTCCTTCACTTCACTTGATATTGACGTTAGCTCCATTATTGAGAAGAATTTTACTTATGTTTATATTCTTTCCAATTATTGCTATATGCAAGGCAGTGTTATCATACCAGTCCTTTATATCCACACTTGCATTCTTTGACGACTCTAATATTTACCGTAGTTTTGTCGTCATTCGAACCGTTGTCTTAGCAAAGTCGTTTTCCCTTCACTTCACTTGATATTGACGTTAGCTCCATTATTGAGAATAATTTTACTTATGTTTATATTCTTTCCAATTATTGCTATATGCAAGGCCGTGTTATCATACCAGTCCTTTATATCCACACTTGCATTCTTTGACGACTCTGATATTTACCGTAGTTTTGTCGTCATTCGAACCTTTGTCTTAGCAAAGTCGTCTTTCCTTCACTTCACTTGATATTGACGTTAGCTCCATTATTGAGAAGAATTTTACTTATGTTTATATTCTTTCCAATTATTGCTATATGCAAGGCAGTGTTATCATACCAGTCCTTTATATCCACACTTGCATTCTTTGACGACTCGAATATTTACCGTAGTTTTGTCGTCATTCGAACCGTTGTCTTAGCAAAGTCGTTTTCCCTTCACTTCACTTGATATTGACGTTAGCTCCATTATTGAGAATAATTTTACTTATGTTTATATTCTTTCCAATTATTGCTATATGCAAGGCCGTGTTATCATACCAGTCCTTTATATCCACACTTGCATTCTTTGACGACTCTGATATTTACCGTAGTTTTGTCGTCATTCGAACCTTTGTCTTAGCAAAGTCGTCTTTCCTTCACTTCACTTGATATTGACGTTAGCTCCATTATTGAGAAGAATTTTACTTATGTTTATATTCTTTCCAATTATTGCTATATGCAAGGCAGTGTTATCATACCAGTCCTTTATATCCACACTTGCATTCTTTGACGACTCTAATATTTACCGTAGTTTTGTCGTCATTCGAACCGTTGTCTTAGCAAAGTCGTCATTCCTTCACTTCACTTGATATTGACGTTAGCTCCATTATTGAGAAGAATTTTACTTATGTTTATATTCTTTCCAATTATTGCTATATGCAAGGCAGTGTTACCATACCAGTCCTTTATATCCACACTTGCATTCTTTGACGACTCTAATATTTACCGTAGTTTTGTCGTCATTCGAATCTTTGTCTTAGCAAAGTCGTCTTTCCTTCACTTCACTTGATATTGACGTTAGCTCCATTATTGAGAAGAATTTTATTTATGTTTATATTCTTTCTAATTATTGCTATATGCAAAGCAGTTATATCATACCAGTCCTTTATATCCACACTTGCATTCTTTGATGACAGTAATATTTACCGTAGTTTTGTCATCATTCGAATCTTTGTCTCATCAAAGGCGTTTCTCAGTCATTTCAGATATTGACGTTAGCTCCATTATTGAGAAGACAACATAATGTTTATGTTTTTTATTTAATTATTGCTGTAAGATATTTTATTCTAAATCTCAGGCGCTATCAGCTGAAGCTAAATCATTTAGTATATATTTGTGATCACATTCGGTTAGGTGTATGTTTCATGCTGTAATAAATCAGCAGTAATTTTGTATTTTTTATAATTCAAAATGTTCTTTTGAATCATTCTTGGTTTCGTTTTGGTGTACAATATATAATATATATGAATATATAATCTGTGGTTTTTATAAAATCATCAGTGACCTGTTGTTGGTCTGTTAATATTGTTTTTGGTCTACTCTGTTGGTTGTTCATGAACCCAGTTCCACGGATTTTTAATATTTGAACAATTGTCTTGACAAATTTTTATTTTGGATTTCTTTATAAATGCTTTATGTTTATGCCTGTGTTATAAGTATTTGCCTTTTTTCTTTGTCCTTTGGTTCATCCTTATAAGTCTCTTAGTTTTTCTCTGTTCTGTTAGTTTATCATTCCACCGTGGAACA